AAACTGAAGAATATAGTTTTCCTGATACTACTTCAAGTAATCGATTTAGAACGATTAAAATCAGAACGATCTATCGAAAAAGCTGTTGAAATTGGTATCCAGTTGACATGAAATATTATGTACGTATTACTTCCCAATAAAACGAAAGAAACTTTTCGGACAACCTAATACCACGATTTTATTATCTGGAATAAATTAACATTCGGATGGATTTTGATCTCACCTTTCTCCAATCGACGTCTAACAGCCTTACGGTGAAAAAATTCACGTCATCTTGGCGTTTTGTCGTCGAAGACGCACGTGAATTAATAAAAATTCCAAACAGTGAGGATCCCGGTTTGAAGTTACCTTGAGATTCGATAACGCGACGTTCGACCTAGACATTTGCTACCCGACGGAGCTCAGAGTTGACGAAACTTGCGGGTAAAGGTTAACAGGCGTGTAATTGATAGTTGCGAGTCTTTCCACGACCTTGGTGTCCGAGAAATCTTACAAAATAGGCTGGATGAATTACACGCGACACCTTCTCACGGTCTTTTCCAATCTTCTCAATCTCCGTGTTTATATTCATACGCGAGCGTATGCTTCAACGGGATTAAAATTAACCGCGTCTCGACTAAATGAAGAAAGTTGCCTTACCTTTGACGAGTCAAAACATTTTTAATATGGTAATTAACCTCGTGAAACAGTGGCTGGCAATTTTATTTCAACCTTCTCACGTTTGTAAATATCTCGCACATTGATGGGAAAGGGGGGTGGCAAGCTTGATTGCTTTTTAAAAACTTAATAACAGGTCAGTTGTATTAGAATGCAATACGAATTGCAAATGTTACCATTGGAATCTTTTTATTGTTAGGAATTATTTTGGCCCTTAGCCAAAGTATGTAAAATAAATCTATAGTTCTTCTTCTATAAATGTCGACTTTACTAATTACATCAAATAATACTACTGGCCCAGAAACTTATTAATCTATGATTAAATGTTGAAGAGCACTCAAACTTGTCTCCCCCCTTTTTATTAATTTACAAATCATTTTTTTCGTCTTCGACAGAATGAAAATAGTCACAACGCAACTAAATAAATAACATATATAATAACTAATTCTAACCGGCAGGATTCTTCCATCCAGGAAGGCTCCTGCTGGACGTCGCGGGACAGGTGTTGGAGATAAAAAAAAGAGAGACGCTTTGGAGTGTCTGATTTTCAAAGTGTTATTATCAGCACATGGTAGTTTCGCGTCCATTTCACAAAATGAAGGATCCGACGAAACGTCAACGATTACAAATCAGAAACAAAGACGACGGAACACGGAGCTTGGGGGTGTCGTGGGGGAGCCGAACCCCCTTGGGCGTTCTAGACGCCAGTTCCAAAACCGAAAGACTCCATTAGATGTAGAAATTAATTCTGTGCCTTTGTACTCAATAATTTATAACTCTAATTGCTACATTAAAACTTGATCTCCGTTGCAATGCATTTCTATACATAACTTAAGTCTCAACCTGATGGTCATTGCAAAGATCGAACGAAGGATTTCAACTTCAATTAGGGACTGAAGGTTTCGTTTAAAAAGATTCATTTCTTCCTCAAATCTCCACCGCTGCTTCGCGTACAACAAAATTATTTACACCATATAATTTCTCCTTATGATAATCTACCTAGAGTTAATAAATAATTCTATACAAAGGCGCGAAATTAATTTCTACACATAATAATTAATTTTATTTTAATACGCAGAGGCGACGACGAGCAAATCGTTACAATATTGTAAACATATCACAACGTTAACGTCCTCCAAAAGGGGTAACGGGTTGGAGGAGAGGCGGATGGTCGAGGTCGAGGACGTCCGTACTCGTCCAATAAACCAGCGGAATTTCGAACGGAAACCCTGAGAAAGGAAAAGTTCTCGCGCATAATTTGAATTTCTCGGGTCGTCAATCACGGTCTCGGGCACGAGTCGCTTTGTACCTTGAACGGGAAGGATTTCGTTAACCCGAGATAGGAGCACAAAGGCGCTGGGATGTTTACGGAATCACTTTTCTAGCTCCTTTGTGAAAAGTGAAGGACTCTGTGCTTCGGGGACATATGCACGTAGGAAGGTAAAAAGAAAGAAAATTGTTCTTCTCTTCTTTTTTCGTTTCCAACGACGTCTTTTATTAGCAATGTTCCGCGTGGAACTACCAAAACGTTCACCGAATGAAACTGAATAGAATTTCTTTTAATAGATTTTGTTTCTTCTCCTTTTTGGTATTTTATTCGAATATTACGGTGGGTACTCGATTCAACAGACATGCCACCACGAATTTCAACGTGTCTAACCTTTATCGTACCAATATTAGATACCAATTTCTAATTAATAAAATTTCAAAATTTTATTTTCGACTCTCCTGGATGTATATGTCCCTTCGAGGCGCGTTTACAAGAAAGGGTGCACCACGATAAGGTGCAACCAATACTGTCTGGAAGTTTCAGAGATGAAAAAAAAAAAAAAGCAAAAAACTTTCATTGGAGCGAAAGCGGATTTTGTGCACACGATTACTAGAGGGCTTCACACACACTTTTCTTTTTTGGCGTTTTTTTTTGTTTTGTATGTTTGTTTGTTTTGCGTCATTTCGTATATCTACGTGGAATCGAGGGCTGGTCGCAAGGATCCAGGGAGAGAGTAACGCTCGCTTCTTTTCTTTTTTCCGTTTTTTTTTTCCATCATTTTTACTGCCTCGCGTCGCTGGAAGTATTCGCCGCTCCCCTAAAAAATTTCAGGCACACCTATATAATTATATACACAGAACGGTATCCCGTACGCTAGCTCTGACGTTTCTTTCTTTGCTCAGCGGCGCTTTTTTTCTAGGTACGCTGGCACGGTTCACAGTCGAGGATGGGCATAATTTCATTCGAATAACAGGCGTGGGGATAAAAATATGGTCGTTTGTTTCCGTACTACGAGTCTTCGAACGTAATTCGTGATCGGATTCTATAATTGAAAACCCTAATTTTTGATAAGAATATGATAAGAATTTTGCCCATCTCCGACCACGGACGAGTTTAGAAGGAGAAAAGGGAGGGAAGGATACGTGTAGCGGGCGCGAGAGACACTTTGAACTCTTGAGGGGCCACGTTTGTTTCTAAATAACGCTTTAGTGACCGTTCAAGGTCGGTGAGATATCCCCACCATATTCTAGAGCAGGTTAGCCCCTCCCACTTCCATTGATGGACTCGAGACGTTACGTAAGTTGCCAAGCTTGTTTGCGGGGAACTGTGTTCGTTTTAATCTTTAGTTTTAATCTGTTAAATTTAGTGTAGTAGTAAATGTATAAAATACACGTTACATCGTGTAGAGGGCGAGATATATTATCATTTAAATCTTCATTATTGTATGAATCGATAAACATATGAATTTGAATAAACATTCGCAATCTAATAGTAATTTATTTACGTCAAATATATATATATATATATATTTTAGCCTGCGATATTTATCAACGATTGTAATAGGATTTAAATCAATGCGTGAAAACACAGGATTACCAAACAAGCTTGTGCATCTTCGTATTGAAATATGCTAAGAGCGACCAAAGGTTAAAGTTTAAACAGTAAGACTGTTACTTAAGTTTATTGACTCGATATACGTATTTCTTCCCATCAAATAAAACGTATACTTTGACTTGACACTTTTTACAAGACGTTTTCTATTCTAATTTGAATATCCTACTCCAATGAAATGTCCCGTATTCAATGTCACGCGTCGAAACACTCATAAGACTCCAGTTCTACTCGAAGGTGGACAAAATTCTTAATTAAGAGGGCGCAAATGAGTTGAAAAAATTACCAAATGCATTGTACAACGTACCCAAAAGATACTCAAAGTTTAAAAAAGATTAAGAAAATTTGTCTGTAGAAAAAAGAAAGAAAGAAATCACGAAGAACACTTAGTATTCGTCTCTCTGTCGTGGTTTCTCCCCTTGAACCACAACGGATAAATTTGTTATCTAGATAAACATTTCACCCGTACCTACTCTAGGCACACACCGTTTATTTCTCCGAGAAATAAATAAATAAAGTAAAAGTCCCGGGTTAATCATAATTTAACACGGTGGTTGGTTTCGATCGGCCGATCGACTTTGTCCCTGGACGCGCGGAAACATGCAAACTCATTTTCGAGTTCGTCATATTCGATCGGTGGCTCCCAGAGTTCATTACATCTCCTCCGCTCGCTACGCGCGAACAACACCAGTCATTTACCTACGTAACAATTACTAACGGCTATATATACACAACGAATCGCTAATGCAAACGCCGATTGCACCGAAACGAAAAGTCGAAGGCTTGTTTGCATTTTTTTTTTTTTTTTCTCTGAACGGATGTCACGGGGATGGGCCGAGAAAGAGAGATTGAGAGTATAATAATTACAGTAATATCACGGAGCGACGCTCGTTTCGCTTAAAAACGAATCGTAAACGAAATAACAGCAGCGTAAAATTAAAAAAAAAAAAAAAAAAAAAAAACGCGACGCGAGTCCCCGGTTCACGTGCGAAGAGAAGAACCGATTTGTTTAAAGCGCACGGGGTTTAAACGATAGCGAACGCGAGACGAAATCGTATCGGTTTGTTTTTTCTTCTTTTCCCTATTTTTGTACGATAACGACTCGACGCCTTTTGGGGCCGACTCGCACGGGCCATCCTTGATTCGGGGGCGCCGAAAATGAACGTCGAGAGGTCCAACGCTATTGCAACTACCGATCGTTTCGCGGACGACAAAGGAACCGTGAACACAAGCAGTAAGAGAAGCGTCGGTGCGTCACGCTGTTCGACGTTAGTTAACATTTACAATACGTAGCAATAATGTACATCGCGACACAGGTCGTTGCAGAGTTGGGCGTCGGCGATCGGCATTCACGATCGACGATTACGTTAATCGTAAATTGGCTATCGACGAACCGCGCTTTTAACTGACCTAAGAATTCTACGAGGAAGTATATGACAACTTTATGCATTTGCATTGCATTTTTAATTATATCAATTAATATGTGTATGAAACGTATGCAAAACATAACCGAGAGCTATGCTCACTCATGCAAAATGAAATAATATTGTTATGATATATTTGATGTATGGCTGGTACGCATTTGTACGTCGTGAATGTATAAAATCCGTAGTCCGAGGGTAACGCGAAATGAATTTTTATTTTGATCGAATGAGTGAATAGTAAAATGACTAATTAACCGAGACTTCTCTTTTTAAATGCTGGGCTGTTCTAGACTAGCCCAACGAGTGCTCCACGGCGTCCGACATGTTTTGTCGTCTGAAAAAAAAAAAAAAAAGAACAGAGGACTGCGGAGCAAAAAGAAAAATTCATTCCAGGAGGAAAGTAATCGTTATTGTGCCGAGTGTAATACAAGTTTGCGCGTTGGAAAGTCGTTTAAGAATTATCTTACGCAACAGTCGAAGAGTATATTATCTATTCTTATGCATCGTCGAGCAAAAGTACTAAAACCAATTTTTTCGCATTTCATAAATAATTGACTGCGCTGATGTCTTAATTTTTCTTCCATCACGTTGAAAACATTGATTTATTACCTATCTCCTGAGAAGCGAATTTATGATACATGAACCTGACATCTTTTTTCGACTTATGAAAAAGAATATAAAAATTGAACGATGGAGCACCTCGAGGCGTCGTAACTTTATCGTCCGCCCATAAATAGAATGTCAAATTCCAAGGAAAAATCGGTATCGAACGAACGATCTTGACTGTATCTTTGTCGATCACGAGGTATCAATTTTATATCGAATACCTGATTCTAACTGATGTAACCCTCGATTGGCCAAATTAATCGTATGTCGCCTGCGAGGCATCGTTGGTTTACTCGTTGCACAAGGGTATTATTTGACAACAGAGAAAATTACAGTGAGATGATATAATACATTTCAATGTGTATATGCGTACGTGTGTGTGTCTCAATAAATATATTTCAAAATGTTATGCAATCTCACTTGTGCCGTCCTATCAACAAATAATACATACACGAAACATTTACCATTCTCCTGTCGCTAAATAATTAAAAAAAAAAAAGAAGAAAAAAAAAGAAGAAGAAAAAAAAGAGAACGTAAATACAAAAATTACATCCAAGCAGATCGTAGGGATAATCGGGAGAAAGAAAGCTACGAGTTCTGTACCAGCCATCGTTGACTACATCGATGGTTATTCTCTGATCAATTCACGATTAATTCAATCGTCAATCGTAGCGAGCGATCGTTTCAATCGCAACTTTGATTACACACCGCCCAACACTGGTATCTCCGTAACGTTTATATTTCTCGCTTCGCTCCTTTGTACAGCTACGTGTCCTCGGGACACCGTAGTCTCTAAAACATTATCGACTAAAGTTTAGTCACTAAACGTTTCTCCTCGAAGCACGCTCGTAGGGGGAATCATTGTGCCTCGACTTCGCGGAAGAAAATACACGCATCTTTCGAATCCTCGCTCGAACGCGACCCCGACTCTCGCGCCTTGCCGCAGAGGCGTTCCCACCAGGGATGAGCGAAACTTCGAATAAAGATGACGAATAAGACTATAGACAAGAATAATTTATTCGTGACGTTTATTCGATTCGACTGTTAAACTTTGGATCGTTCATCGTAAAATATTTCATTGTCTAATTTTTATCGAACGAGCGTTTATACTTTATTTGATATTCGTCATTTATGTCTAAGGAACAGTTTCGTTCATGCCTGCGCTTTATCACCTCCCTCCTTCGCCAAGCGTTTCGGCCTTCGCGCTTGTTCAACATTCGATCACAGTCTTGGATCCTGAACAGAGTCAACGGATTGGGGATCGCCCGAATTTAAGACTAAATCGGGACACGATCGACCGGTTACACGGGGAAAACGAGACATTCTTCGTTTAAGTTTTATCCCAGGCATGTCAAACGAGAGGTCTGTCACATCTTGTGTCTCGCTTAATCCTTGATTCTCCATTTTTTTGCCTATCATTGGGACCATAGATTCGTGTCGATAGTTTCGAAATACAAAGAATGCCTTTAAAGGAATTACAGTACTTGTATCATTTTATAAATAATCGTCACCTTTCACTTGTTTCTACGGGAGTTGTTGTTTTTTTCTCTCTCTTTTTTTTTTTAAAGGGGATATACTTTTTAAAATATTTTCAGCGGCGAAATGTAATTGGCCCTTTGAGCCAAAATGAATTCGGTCCGCCCGCGGTCTGTGGATTCTGATATTTTTTAGATTATTTATTTACCTACCTACAGACTCCTGCATTCATTTGCCTCGCAGCACACCGCTCGAGGCTACCAGGCAATCACCTTTCAACACGATCGACTGAAACGTAAATCGATTGAACACGAGAAAAAAAAAAGAAGATTTGCGATGATGATTTTAAACGGTGTTTATGGGATGGCAAAGCCTTGGTAACTGCAAAAAAATCGAGAAATTCTTTTGAGTATTGACGTAGTCAACCGAACAAGCGTCATCCATGAGAATATATACATTGTCATGAATGAAATTATCATGAGATAATCGATCATCAATTCATGTAGCATAGATGATCCTTGTAATTAATACAGAACGACCAATCTTGTAATCAACACTCGTAATTGTCAGAGTAACCAACAAAAGATTGCGATTAATCGCGACCGCTTAATAACTTATCGATGGTCACAATTGCTGATTAGTCGGTATTCTTAAACGTCGATTAGATTTTTCCCAACACTGATTCATATCAGTATAACTTGCGTTCGCTAATTTATCGCGAGGTTATGCGTATCACGGATTGAACGAAGCGTTCCTGAGTTTTATTTTAAACGGGGACTGGTCATTTTCGAAAAATAAGCGATCGGTTCGACATGCCTGGGAAACCCGCGAAGCACCGAACGTCGTCAGGATACGGCTACGCCAACTGACATGATAAATCAGGCGACGGTCGTCGGGGTTGCATTCGCGTTGCGTTTCGTCGGTGTTCTGCGTCTCGACGATTCCCTCGTCTGGCATATCGTATCGTTGTCCTCGCAACTACCGGGGCTCGCAGGCCTCGTAGACGAGCTCTGGCACCAGAGCCAAAGAGAACGTGGCGCTGGCCTGTCTTGCGTACTGCCTCCTCGTCGCGATAGCTTCGTGTTACCTATTATTCTCCTCCATCACCACCTGCTTGAACACACCGGCGGGCATCTGGCTCTTCACCTCGTGGTTACCGAGCGCTGTCGTACCATCCTTCGCGATGAACAGCTGAAGCCCTGTCGCTGTAACAAAGCAATTAAACGAAATGGTGAGTTTTCGAAGCATTAAGGTTCTCGCTGGATCCTCGAAGCTTTACAAGGTTCAATGCTGAGTTTTCAAAGCTTTGAGGTTCAACGCCGTGCCCTCGAAGCTTTAGAAGGTTCTATGCCGTGTCTTCGAAGAAGCATCGCGTCTCAATAGCAGCTCCAAAATAAATAAGAGTACGAGATGCAAAGCCTACGTAGTCGACGCTAAACCTGTTTATAATCTCTAGATTAATATAAAAACTTCCTTTTTAACCACTTTTTCTGACGGTTAATTATCGCGTCATTATTCTAATCACAAACACAAATACGTTATAAATGCTTCTCAATAGTGATCTGCGTAATTCCGATATAAATGTATAAGGAAACGAAGATATTTCGAGGCCGTTGACTATAGGATATTTCGAGATCGATCACGCCGAGATTCGCGTTGAAACTCAAAACTTTGAAGACTTAGGGTTGAACCTGATAAGATTGATCGAAGTGCGGAACAGTAGAAATCGTAGGTGAAACGTACTTTCGGAGCTCTCGAGATCCGTCTGCTCCAAATTCGTTGCTTTGATTAGCTCGTCGATGAGAGAGTCCGCATTCGGCCTGGTCACTTCGACCCTGCACAACACGGGATTCCCTGTGCCATCCTCAGCCTTTTTCCTACGCTCCAACGCGGCCTTTGCTCGGTCCAAAGATCCCGTTTCGCTGAGACCCGAGCCGCCGGATGGATTTCTGCGAAAACAAATCATGAATTGTTTTAATACTCACCGATGCATTGGCCTCGATATTGTTTGCTACAATGTTTACCATACACTGACGCGAAAACATGATACCCTTGAAATGTTCGATAGGAAATCGCGACACAAGGGTATATCAAAATTACAGCATAATTCCTGAATGTAGTAACAATAATATCGTGTAATAGATGTGAAATGTAAATGAACTTTTTCTAACTTATGTTAGAACACGCAGGGAACAGATATTTCCGCGCCAGTGTCGGTTTCGAACGCGTGCAAGAATCAGAAAAGTTTATCTCTTCCTGCGACACATCGCGTGCAAAAACGAGGTAGTTCGAAACACACAAAAATATATATATATATATATAAAAAAATGGAATAATGCGAGGAACGATGCTCGGACACGAACGAAACGTAAAGGTCAGAAGTAGTGATGGGCGCTCGAATGCTTGACAAGACGGAAGTTCGAATTTTCAAATAAATTGGAAGGGTTCGAATCGTTTCCAATATTATTCGATACCAGGAGATGTTCAGAGTTTTGATTTGGAATTTGGAATAAATTCAATTTTCTGTCTTCGAAGCTTTGTAGTTCAACGCTGAGTCTTAAAAGCTTTGAGATTCAATGCTGAATATTCAAAGCTTTGAAGTTCAATCCTGAATTTTCAAAGCTAGAAGGTTCAACGCTGAGACCTCAAAGCATTGAAGTTAAACGTTGAGACTTCAAAGCTTTGTGGTTCAACGCTGAACCCTCGAAGCTTGCATACAATGTTCGACCCTTCGAAGCTTTGAGGTTCATCTTTCAGTACCGAATACGATCTAATCTTCGAAGACATGAATTGATTTTGAGCCCATAGCTAGTGAGAAGCGATAAGCACGATATGAAACGATTTAAAGGCATGGACACACTTAGGGACGATGAACAAGCGAAGAGATGCGTATAAAAAGTAGCGAGAGTTGAATTTTTCGATGGCAGATGCAAAAAGGGGGTTCGTGTGCGGCATGCAACAAGGCAGCTGCGACGAAGTCGATCGTGAATAGTGAATCGAATCAAGGAAGCAAACCAATTCTGTTCGAGAATGGAGCCGTTCTGTTAATGTTAGTCTAAGAAGTTTTATTTCGAGCAGAAAACGTGAAATGACGTTTCACGTCACATTTCTAGAAAATCATGACGATATAATTAACACACGACAAAAAATAAAATGATTATTTATTAAAATCGACATTATGCATAGAGAAATAGACCTGACCTGGCTATAAATTGAACGTATGCTGTTCAACGCGATGAGAAAAACCAAAAGCAAAAAGTTGCATACATTCTAATAAATCAGAATAAATTAGCTTCCTGAATTAATCACGATCGCTGACAAGCTCTATACAAAATCGAAGTTATGATTTCTAGTCTCGACCAGTGTTGGACAAAGTTAGTTCAAATAAACACGTTTTTACCATTGTATAATTCGATATGTAATTTCCATTGATTATATGGTGAATTTTATCCATCACTGGTCTCGCTTCACACTGCATTGGTGATAAGATCACCTATCGACAAAAGTATCGCAAGCGCAGGATATGCAATTCACAATGAAACTATTAATCAGAATTATCTTAGGACGACTGAGATTTAACGTTGATGCCTCGTAACATTCATATAATGCTTGAGATTTCAAAGCTTTGAGGTTCAACGTTGAACCTGAGTCTTGAAAGCTTTAAGTTTCAACGCTGAATTTTCGAAGCTTTGATCTTTAACGCTAAATCATCGAAGCTTGCATTGAATGCTTGAGATATACGATCAAATACTACAAAAAAAAAGCTTCGATTTTATGAGTTCCTTTCACACAAAAGCTAAATAACTCATCGAATCGATACAATAAAATAAAATCGAGCCTTCGGTTTAAATTTTAAATGATGTATTTGCTTAAGGAAAACAACGATTTTCCAGACACAAACACTGTTGCTGCGAACCTTCGCACGGAGACGTAGAGGATACCGTAATTCGAAAAAAAAGCTAGATAAACATTGGCACGGATTTTTTTATATAATTCATTGTCATTTCGTCAATTAACGCTGCTCATTTGAATCCGTCGGACAGTCGACATACGGATGGTAAACCGTTAACAATATTCTTTTCTAAGAATTCCCGAGTATGTATATTTTAGAATGACGTAGAATACGTATAAGTAGGCGCGAAAATATGTTCCATTGTTTTTCATTCCGTTTGCTCAACGATCGATTCTTTCGCTACGAGGAAATCGAACGCGACATACTCGAGGCTATAATTATTGTTACGATAAAAATAGTATCCTTCGGCTCCTTCGTTTTTTAATCATATGTACCAGTTACAAAGGAATTAATGGGTGAATTGTTTGTAAACATTCGTTACATTTAATTGAACATTTGAGTAAACACAAACCGGTCTCGTAATATCATTGACATGACGTCAATCGCTTTGACGTATACAAATGAGCTCTAAAAAAAAATAAGTATTCCATCGAGAGCGCTGTAACCACAGAGTATATATTTGAAAAAAAAAAAAAAGAAAGAAAACCAAACAGATTCTTAAACTAGATACCTGTGACTATTTTTTAACGTAGTATTTTTCCGATATCTAAACAAAATTAAAAAATGGCGAACCTTTTGCCTAGATAAGAAGTGTACTTAGACAAAATGGTTCGATCTACGTCTTCGTGGTCGCGAAAGGACAAAGCTGAAGAAAAGACACTGGAGCAACAGACACAAAGACGAAGCACAGATTAAAGAGACGAAAGCATGGACTGACGGTGGGGTTATGCTGTTTCGGTGCTGAGAGCTCGGTGGAGCGACTTCCGGTACCCCTAAGGAGGACTCCTCGGAGTCCGCTGGGCTGGTGGCGACCGTAGCCAGCTTGCCCCCCGCCCCGTCCAGCAACTTCCGGTGGCCTCCGCCAATACCCCTGCAAGGATTCACAAAGCCATCCAAACTGGAAGCAAAGCTACACCTCCTCTCTCTTGCGATCTTTCCATCTTTCTCCCTATTATTCTCGTTTCACACTATTTTAGGATCTACAGCGGATCGACAAAAAACTTCCACACCTTATTTGAAATGTATTTACATATTCAAACGATATATCAACATAAAGTATTTTCTTTAGCGTCTTTTGACGTATGCAGGTGCCAAAGACATGCGATGGGCTATGCCGTTTTTTGGGTACTTCGAAAGATATTGTTGTGCGTGAGTGCGTATCAATCTTTCGAGTGACATGGGTGCATGGATGCGTCCAGAAGAAGCTCATTTCTCAAAGTTCTCGAAGCTTGTGTAGAGTGCTTGGACCTTCGAAGCTTTGAGGTTCCACGCTAAATCTTCGAAGCTTTGATATCCAAGGCTGATGCTGCGAAACTTTAGTATCCAACGCCGAGTCCTCGAAGCTTTGATGTCCAAACATCGAATTCACAAAACTTGCCGACATATCACTTCAGCGTGTAAATACATTTCGAATCAAGTGGATGTCGACGCTTTGTCGACCCGCTCTGCGACCTCTTGGACCCCTTGCTCCAACTTTGAAACGCTATTAAAATTATACGCTCAACAAAATTCATCTTTGATAGAATCCGAGCGTGACAAGTTTTCAAAATACAGTTGCCCTTGCGTTGAACTTTTACGCGATAATATGATTTGCGGATTCGTAGTTAACGGAAGCTGAAGCGGTAGCTCATCTCGCAAGCTAGTGTGTCGGTCGTGCAACGGTGAGACATCGACGGCCATTTCTCCTAATTTTCGAAGAATTTCAGGCTATCATAAGAAAGACACTTATTCTTTACAAAAATTTGCCAGCATCGATAACAATAAGTTGTCTCAAAGTTCTTGGATTCAGGACTACAAAGACTCCTGACAGAACATTCCAAACTTCCAAAGACCTGTCAGACTTTTCAAACTATACGAGAACTTTCAATTGCAGAAGTTTCCGCTTTTTCACACCTCCACATATCCTTTTGCTGGCTTTAAAATATTTTTGGAGGCGTCGCGTCTCATCGTTGCTTGGGTGTTTGTTTCGGTGATCGCGGCTTATATCGATTAAGCGTCAAACTATGTATATCAACGTGCGTGGTGTACCTGAATCGTGAATTGACTCGTTTCAAGCATCGTATCGAGGAACAATGGAACGATAAATAAACTTAAGCGGAAGAGAACGCAATCGATTTAGAATCACACGATTCGTCATTTAAACGTCGAGTGCTAACTTCAAAAATAAGAAAACACATTGCAAAGATAGAAATCGCGTGTTCCTAATCGAAACAAAACCAACCAGAAGGGAAAACAACGCAGGACAAACGTGGGGGGATGATTATTCGCTAATGAAAGACAAAGAGAAAGAAAGGAAACGTTATGTGTCCGCCATCACACTTTCGTCGTTGTTCTATCGAACAAATATTTAATAATGATTTCAGTGTAATTCGAAGGGTACGCGATATCGGGGGAGTTCGTAAAAGCAGTGGCGGTTAAAAGAGGACGAAGAACAAGTGGGCGGCGGGGGGGGGGGGGGCGAAAATCGAACGCAAAAAATCACTTCGGAGAGGGTATATAGTGTGTTCCACTGGAAACAGACCACCTAGATATCTTACCTATTTCGGAGATAATTTATTTATTTATATACTGGAGAAATATTTTCTACGTTAGTATACGTTAATCTAGGCTGACACTTTTACATACTGTTACTAGATATATCGACAGCTTTGTTCGTTTCATCAAACTGAGCATTGTAATTGAACAACAGCACAGCTATTACGTAGATACTGCCTAAGTGCGGGAATATAAGAAACGCTTTCCTTCAGACCTTCCACTACTTCAACCTCAAAGGAACTCATACGGCCACCTTATTACCACCCAAATATCCAAGATACCCAAGCTAACCTGTTTCCTGATGGAACACGGTGTCAAAGAAGTTAAGGGGCGGGGGTTTAACCAAAAAGACGCGTAAAAGAGAAAGTCGTTGATGAATGAAACCTACCTGAGGGTCTGAGCGGTCGTTGCGGAACGTAGCGAGGCTCTGGGGTTATCGGGCCTATGAAGAGGATCTGGGGAGGATACAGCCCTGGCCTGATCGGCCAATCGCAAAACCGGGCTGGTCTTGCCTTTCTCGATGCAGTCGCAGGTTTTCGATATGCTCGTCCAACCTGGCTGACCGATTCTCGGCTTTGCGACCGGCGCGGCCACGGCGCTACTAATCTGTTGTTGCCCGTTTCTGTCCTTCGACGTCGAGTTTGCGGCGTTAAGCTCGTTTCGCGTCTCGAAGCTGTTCCTCTCGTAATTCTTGCGCGAGTGTCGCGGCACGTCCTGGGGCCCGGGTACCCTGAACACGCCCGCCTGGTGGTCATCGTCGTCAACGGCGTTCTCGTTGTCGGTGTCACCTAGACGACCGTCGTCGCTCGTGACACCGTTCCTCGACGCCCGTGACGACGACGTCTGATCGTTGGACGTCAGAGGGACGGCCACGACACTCGTTCTCCCCCTCGACGAATTCCGCACGTCCGATCTCCCGTCGCGGGACGACAGAGGACTCGACGCGGACCAGAACCGGTTACGTGGGTCCAGCAGCATCAGGGAGGACGAGGACGGGGATTCGGTGGATTCGAGACATGTGTCGGGTCTGTGGGGCTGCTGGTTGGTGGATAGGGCTTGAGACGGGTTGGGAATGCGCGGAGCCCATACCGGCCAGGAGGGTGACCTATAAAGATCACAACACAAATATTCAAGCATGCAAAAATTATAATAAACTCGCGTATGTGGCGCGAGATACGCCGTGGATGCAGAAGGGGGACGATGGTAGGAGAAGTAGAAATATTATATACATGTATATATGTGTATACACGAGGGAAGATAGAATCCAGAGTCTCTAGTTAAATAATGAAGAGAAAAAAAAAATAGAAGCGGTTGGAAAAAAGAAGATGTCCTCGGAGAATTCGGATGCCTTCTCGTTAACAGCCGTTCGTTGAACGCGAGCTGGATTCGTGATACATGTCAGAGTATAATTGTAGAACGTGCAGCGTGGCGTAAGAGAGTTGGAGTTAAACACGAGCGTTGGTGTATCTCTGTTATTGTTAAGCGACAGGCGTCGAATGTTTTCTGAGAAAGACTTTGGGGTCGTATCATGCTAAACCGATCGCGTGCTGTGCCAGATCAGAGATTTCATCCAAATCTCAGAGCTCCGGTAGAGACAGCGATCGATTCCGTGTAGAATGGACCCCCTACGGAATACTAGATGAGATACAGATTCAAGCAGTAGAGTTCCACAACGAGTCAGCGTGTCCGCGGCTAGTTAATGCGCGGTTCGAGAAGTTGTTAGTGCGAGTGTTAGTGTTCTAACGTCGCGACGATATTCCGCTGCGTCTACTCTCGGTTATCTCGCGATTCTCGCATTCGGTTCTTCAAGCAACTGTATTCTTGTTACCGAGTACCTCTTGGAAAACCCCATACAGAATATCATGCTTACTCATCGTTCCAAGCGAAACCGTGAAAGTTAGAGAAGGTACTGTCATACCAGACGAGAGAACGACAGAATCATACAAGTAGTAAGCGATTAAACGAGTCGTGAGAATACTCGAAATAGTTGTGTTATTAAAAAGTATCGAGTAGAGAACTCTGGACACGGTAATCGGGACGGTTTTCTCGGGCCACTATGAATCGACTGACGTTCTTTGATCTCTCTCTCTTTCAGCTTGGCTAAGAGGTCGAGAGGTTACCATTCGGTTCTTTTACTGTTGAGAACAGTTCATTTTCTAGTCTAGGAGGGATCTCGTTTCAATTTCGTTTCCCCAGGTTGGCCGCGATGGCCTTACCTAATGTGGCCACTGTCACCACTACTGCTCTGCCTACTATGCTGACTATGGGAATTCAACGACCCGTAGCCCGAGCCTTTGCTCAGCTGACTGGTGTTGCTGCTGTTGCGGGAGTGACCCGACTCTGTGTGCGCTTCAGCTAGTGTCTCCACTGGAAGAGCTGTTGGTACGATCTCGCTTAGGGTCATGGGATCGTACGACTCCGCTCCGCTAAGGAGCTCTGAAACAATAACAACGATCAAGCAAACGGGTTGATCGGAATGCAATGTATTTCTTCCTTCCTCGCAGTTGTTTCGGACCGAGTGTGAATATTATCTGTTTGTATATATAATAATTTCCATATGTTTCGGGTATACGTTGGCTCTCTTCAGGGGGTAAATAATTGAATAATCGTATAATATCTTGGGTATTACCATACTTAAGTTTCATCTTTCATTCTTCATAGTTTCTTGTTGTAATATATTATTTCAAATCACCCGTTGAAGAGGGCCAGTTTCAGCAAATAAACACTCGGGAACAAGCATACTGAGAACCCAATAATATTTACACATCGCCAAAGTTCTTTATAGATTCCAGAGGAAGGAGAAAAATACACATTGGAGCCTCGAAAGAAAGCAAACGTTACCTGAGGTAAAGAGAGCAGGCCTCTTTTTGGGAAGACTGCCGAAACCACTGCTGGCGCTGGCTATGCTTCCAGCCAACGACCCGCTGGAGACATAGTCCTCTCGGTTGGTACACCTCTCCGACGCGGCCACCTCGTCGGCAGTCACGCCAGGGATACCTGGTACCCCTGGCACTGCGAGTTGCGTTTGCTTCAGCGACGGAGAGGGTCTGAAAGGGAGGTTTCAGTCAATCCAATGTTCAGTTTTTAAAGAGGAATTGTATAATACTCCAGGAATCGGTAGAATTTATACTCACACTTTGAACAGAATGTCTCCCGCCAGCATGTTCATTTTGATGGCAACGCGTAGCATGGAGTTGTCCTGTCGATGCCTTGCGTCGTAACCTTCCAAAAGGCACCTCGTTCTGCAGAGTCCAGCTCCAGCGAATTCGGCGAGGTTCAGGTCGGTGAAGCCGAGCTTCTGGAAGGACCTGCCTCCCTTCAATTCCTGCAAAATTAATTGCCGATTAAAACAGAGCCCAAACGATAGGAATAAGAAGCAGCGATGGGTAAAATTTTCAAGCCGGATACCAATTTCGAAATAAAAATTGTTCGTTCGTTAGGATGCGTATCGTAAATTTCTACTAGGGTGCCTAGCTCGTGAACACCAAATTTTCGCCATTTGATTCTTTAGTATCGGATTGGAAACTAATTTTATTGGCATCTATTCGAATATAATTTTTGCACGCTATTGGCTGGAAGCTTCGTCGACTTACCTTTCTCACGGATATCCTCAAGATGCACGGATCGAGGACACCGGTGGACGCGTTGGCACTCATCTTGCACAGAAACTCGAATCTGGCGTTCCATCTGACCGTGTGCTCTTGCACCTCCTCCCTGAAACGCAAGCGACACGAGTGAGAACATTTCGCACGGAAATACAAGGTAAGAGATATCTATCAAAATTAATTTCAATCGATGTATGTGGTATAAGAGATTCGAGGGTGAGTGTCGCTATCAGGATCGAACCCTAACATAACGAGGACTCAAATAAAAATACTACTTGGTAGCGTGAAGGATGGTTTAGCAATGAGAAGCATTCATAATTTCAAGAAGAATTTTTACCTCTTGAACAAAATAAACTTACGATACTTCTGGATGCTGCGCGATTGTGCAAAGTAAAAATATCAATTGGGAAGTTTATTATCACAGGCCTGGAAGCTGGTAACAATTTCACGGTGCAATGTTCGAGGCCTAAATAAATCTCGTGGGGTTTTTTCGTGGATTTTCCAATTCACTTGGCGGTTCGTAAGCATCCCGTGGTCGTAAATGTCGTCAACGGCACGCACCCTCCTCGACACGGGGTGTCGCTTTATCGACCTTAGACGAGAACCAGAAAGAGTTCCCAAGTGCGAAACACTGGGCGAAGTGAATAATAAAAGCACTTGCCACGAAGGGAGGGGACCAATAAAATCGATGTGAAAACTTGCTCGCCTCAAGGAGTTGGAGCATGTGATTAAAGTACAAATTAACTATCGATAGACTCTTTCAGGCATCGTGATTTAAAATTAAAATAAAACTCGAGCTGCGGAGAATTACGGTAACGTTGCTCATTCAGCTTCAAAATTGGCATACAAATTCAAATAAAATGGTTTATTAATTAGGAGACCATTAACTTCCTTTTGAGGAGGGTTGAAAAATGTTTCGTTTCCACGCGAACCGAATAGCCTAGCTTAATAGTCTTACTGTCAAAAAATACTCCACCACGCGTCGGAGACTAAGGAAAAGGTGGGCCAATTCTTATCCCAGCTAACCCCGAAGAGTTGAGGGTATCGATTGCGGAGGAATTTGTTCAGTGTTTTTTTTTTTTTCCAGAATCGTAGGAATCGTGATTATCGTTGCCTCTGCGTAAACTCGTTGACCGACAGGCATGTTTTTGTCACATCGAGTCCGGTTAACGAGATTGGGCGGCTTAGAGGTATTACCTGGACGAGTGGAAAAGTCACAGCGGTGATTTCTATCTACAATAAGATTACAGATTAAACGCATCGCAGACCAAGCTCGAATACCAGGGTTGCACACGGTCAAGTTGTACGAATTCGCGGAAAATAGAAAGCTTTAAGGGTACCTTCCCACCGAGGGTTGTCACAACTGGCAACGAAAAGGCGGACTTTATCGCGAGAGACGTGACAGCACCGATCACACCAAATGCATCGAAGTAACGAGCATCGTTTACCATTATCGTTACTTTTAATCGAAACAATTAATTCGAAAGGGAGAACGCTGACCACCGCGGACGACAGTGGGCTGTTATTAACGAGCGGATATTTCAAAAAGTAATTAACCGAAGTCCGCCTGCACGGGAGTTTTGTTGTAACAACGTTCAAGGTTAATTAACTTCAACGTCCGTCCAGAAAATAGGAATTGCAAATGAGTTTGCGGTCAGCCAACGGGGAGGAGAAACTGGGCCAACGGATCCCAAGGAAACTTTCAAAGATACACCGAGGTGGTTTCCTCGCCCATTTCTCTTTTTTCTCTCCATATAATTTTTAGGATTTTAACGAATCCTGACACACCAGGCGCGAGACGGGAGCGTAATTCTTCCGTTCCCTCGCGGAACGGTCGCTTTGATCTTCCGTGGGACCTAAGAAGTCGGTATTTCCGGCGTATCTCGGCCATCGAGGGTGGAAGAAAGGATTCGTGACGATGCATCGGATCGACGAATTATCAGGAACACGGAGGGAGGACATCCGTGAGCCAGTGTACATCGATGCAACCGACCTGCTTAATAGGCACGAATGAGAAAGAAGAGCGTAGAATCGTGTCTGCTATTCCGGCCGACCCTAATTCCCTCGTATTTTTCATTTGGCTGCGCGAACCTCTCGCGACATCGCCTCTTCTTCGATACGAGAAGCTGAGGAATCGTGTGTGCCCACTAACTCCGTTCAGAAAGTTTCTGAACTGACTCATTTTAAAGAGACGGTGCAAAATGTTGTGTCATTTATTCTACTATTTTTATTTCATTATTTTCACTCCATTTGTTTATATCTTTACTTCCTCGTCTCGAGTTCAACGTTTGAAATTTCGCAGCTGATAAAACGAAGGCAAGATATTCACTCGCGTCGTTTTATATCAATTATCTAGCGCGAAGTAAACTAACACTGTCAAAGTAAATATTTGCTATCTCTGGCGAGCAGAAGAATATTAAACGCCACTTACGATATTTCATGGTGCTAGGATTTAACGACGCAGACTTCAGCTGCGAATTCACGCGGAATTTTAATTTCTCGGAAATGTAAGCGAGTACCCAGGAAGTTTTCGTTGCGGAATTTCAGCGAGCGTTTCGTATTTGATCAAGGGTTGCGTGTCTCGTGGCAACGGTCGCGCAACAAAAAGCACGCGCCAAAAGTTATCGATTCCTCGATAAAAGGCACGCGTATCCAGGGTATCGAACCAGCCGGAAACACGATTAACGTGTTTGCTCGCGTGTCGAACGGTAACCGTGACGCGATTGTGGTTGTAAAACGCTATTGCACCGCGTCGTTCAGACGCACGTTGTTCAAATATTATGGAAAGTTAATCGAACTTTTTATTTCGAAATCAGCCGAGAGTAAACTGTAATTTTGTATCGACGATGTCGAGCGAAATTCAATCTTTCACATAAAAAGAAACAAAAGCACCCAAACTGCTAAGCATAAACATTCGCGTTCCAGTCAAGATCAAGACGATCGCATTTTTTATATCCTACGTGAATCGAACGAATCAATTAACGAACGACTGAATTAAAACGATCGCTATATCCGCGAAATGGATCGAACGCGATGGATAATCGGGGCACGATCGATTGTGATAACAGGTGTCCAGGTGGTCACCGTTATCAGCTATTGCGAAAGGAAGGCGACGAGTGAAAGTACGCCGCGAATCAGGCGCACGTGTTTAGGAAAAAGCAAGGTGCACACGCGGTTCGCGAGACTAGGCCTACGTTTTCATCTGAACCGGATTGCGAAACCGCGAATGACACACAACCTGGACAGCCTTGAAACAGCCTTGCCCACGGCTAATGCAATTCTCGCAGTCGCTCGTGATCCGTGAATTATACCGAGCGATGACGGTGAAAGTCGACGCACAACAGTAGTTAGGCGAAATCGTTCGTATCCGTATGCAACGAACGCGGGGACATCTTTGGTAGTTGGATGGCAGGGCCAAGTAAAGATAAAAACGAGTCACGAAGTTGAAGTCGACATAGAAAATACAAGTTGAATTTCTCGATGCAAGAGCAAAGACGATTTACGCTATTTTCGTTTCATTTACCGCGCGTGGCTGAATCGATAGAAAACCGTGACCGGGAAGGAGAAAATCCCGAGCAACTATTTCGGATTCACCTTGCACGTGAACCTTCACCGTGACGCGTTGCACAATCGCGCGATATTTTACCAAGCTTAATTTCTGCCTTCGATTGCGCACCGACGTTCCTTCGCAGTCTCATGAAATTATTCGACGTTATCGCGCCGCGTAATCTGCCCCAATAAATTAACGTCCAAAACATTATCCAGCTGTAAATCTCATTCCCCTCTACCGAATCGAACGTCCAACGACTGTTTAAAACGATTTACACGATTCTGGGTGCAAGGTTTGTTGGACGAGGAAATTTCACACTTTTCTGTGAAAATGTAAATGCGTGGCAAGAACCATGTTTTGCTTTTCAGAGATTTTTCCTTTAAATATAAGAAACAAATCGCACATTGCATCATTTATACCGGAGAACATTAATTTACATTTCTCCTCTTCGGCTACGCGCATAAGAATATGAATTTGCACAAACATGGACAGTTTAATCATGACTATATACCGACGCATCATATTTGACTTTAGAAGTTTCTTCGGTCGCTCGTGCGATCTACCGATGATCCAGACGCGGATTACCGGGCCTCGATCCGAAGTTCGCATAGCGATCATGGGATGGTCGAATCATCGGACACGTTAACACGCGAGTTACGTAAGTTCGAAGCGGTAAATTCTGTGCAGCAGCGACTCGCTGAACGGCACGGCCCGTTAACTAATGACACGGACAGTTTGTCACGGCGCCTCGTGGACGCGGATACTGTCCACCGGTTAGCAAGTTTATCGCGGCGATTAACGGGGCTACCGCCAAGAATTCCCGGCAAACTCGTGGGGAAACATTAAGGCGCACTTGCGAACGAAAAGCTCCAGGATCCAAGAGGAAAGTTTAAATACCGACGATAAGTGCCTAATGCATGGTAATTGCGAGCCCACCTGGAGCTCGGTCTCGTTCTTTTTTTATCTTGTTTATAATCTCGAGGTATCGCGGAGACACTCGTTTCATCTAGGCCATAAAGGATGATTTCTCTATCGGAAATTGGGAAAATCGAAAATGTCGAATCGAATGATGCGTGCGACAAAGTTTAGCATACGTCTCGCCGCAGAAACTAGTTTCTTCTCGAACGAGTCTTCGCAGACTATAAAAAGCCGATTGCGTAAAGAACATTTAATTAGTCTCCAAAGATCAGGGTCGACGACGATCGGAATGCTCCCGAAGAATGTCGCGCCGTTCCTTAGAAAAACGGAATCGCGACAAGTCGTTCGTCTCTCGAAAACGTTTCGAAGGTTTTCCTTTTCATGAAAATATCTTACGTCGCGAGAAAAACGGAGTCATTTCGCTATTCACGCGGCGTCGCAATTAGTTGGAATAATAAAGGTCTCGTTGTGTTCGCTAGTCGGGCGTCGCGGTAGCAACGTTGAATGCAAATGAACAGCGACGAATTAAAGACCCGATACGCAAGACAGCGAAGAGACTCCCGTAGTCGAAATGGCACGTTTCCGGTTGGTATCGCAAGAGCAAATACACATTATCTCGATAGTGGTCCGTTGCATCGATA